CAGCATGAATAGTACCTATCATGTGGTAGTCACATTGGTTATACCTATCTGTATTGCTATCACTTTTCTACCAATCTACCATGAGATTAACAATATTCTACCAATCCATTAATCTCATCTACTAGTAATAAATTTAACAATATTCCACCAATCTACTACTCTAATTTACTAGTGATGAGTTTAATGTTCTGCAAATCTAGATACTTGTATTTCAACAGATAATAGCATAGCCGGTTTTTTTTTTTTTATTTTTTTGCTTAGTACAACTTATGTACTGTTGTATCTGTGCAACGAGTTCAATGAAATTGGGGTCATTGCATTTTAATAGAGTTTTTGCACCATCACGTGACGCAAGCTATGCAAAAGCAGTGCAAAAACTGACGTATGTTGGGCTAACGGGTTACTATACATCTTGAACCTATGCATGTATCATGAATATCATGTATCTTGTCATTTCGTGATTCCCAAATTTAAGATTGAGAAATGCACTAAATGTATCTGCTACAATAACCGCATTTAACTGATTATATCGAAATATACGATCTTCCTAGAAAAGTAGAACTGTCTTGCTTGCTTGAAGCTGGCTGTTTGCCTGTGCCATTGCTTGCAGTACCAATACGAGGTGTTTTGCTTTCAAGCTAAACAAGATAGAAGCAGACGGGGGAGGTATTTTCTTTCCTTGAATGCTCATTATTAACAAGGATAGCTGCATGTTAACTGTTAAAAGTGCATCATTTAGTCCAACCCAGCTTATCAGTGTAGACAGCCTAACCTATTTTCTTGTATTATAGCAATACCTTTATAACTAAKGCATTGCTGCATAGGTCACTATCCCCAACCTGTAGATTATATTTGTAGATGATGCAGTTGTTAATTGCTSCGAGCCGAAAGGCGAGCAGCAACACTGATCTTTGCTTACGGGAAGCCTGTGCCAAATGCCAGAAAAAAAAATCGATTAGTGTCTGTCATTCTGTGAGCATTTGCGAAGCATGCAGTCTATATGATCAGCGGTATTTGTCATCGCTGTACATAAGCTACTGAATGCACACCAAGCACTTGGTCCGACAAAGTCATTGACATTAATGCATGTGAAGTATAAAAAGAGMTTTTTCATCTTCTTCTAAGTTGTCAGATGCATTGCGCTCTTTTAGTGTGTACCTTGCGGGGTTACATCATTGATTTCTAGATCCTCAGTTCTGGGTAGACTGTGTTCTGTGTTTTTTTACGAAACCAAACAAAGTCATTGATATTGACACATTTGAACTATAAAAGAAAGTTTTCAGGTCATCTTCACAGTTTTTAGCATTTGCTAAAAATAT